ATGTACATACATGCATATTTAATTAAGCTTAAAATTGTACTTCCTCACTCATGTACTTGACTTCATTGACTGACTTCAACTTCGCTGCAAATTGAACAAAGCAAAACATGATTTTTATGCGAGACAAATTTCCACAGAAACTAACGGTAGAAAAAGATTTTTTGGATATCCATTCTATTTTTCAGCTGGCTACGATGTAGCATTCTACTTTGCATTCCCTGAAATGAAGCAAAGAAGCGAAATAAAAAAAAAATATTGTAGGACATTCTACTTTGCATGCCCTGAAATGAAGCAAAGAAGCGAAAAAAAATAAAATGTTGTAGGACATTCTAGTTTGCATTCCCTGAAATGAAGCAAAGAAGCGAATTAAGAAAGAAATATTATAGGACATTCTACTTTGCATTCCCCAAAATGAAACAAAGAAGCGAAATAAATAAAATATTGTATGACATTCTACTTTGCATTACCTACAATGCCTAAAAGAAGTGAAAAAATTCGAAGGCATTACAACGCTATGCCTTCTAGAACACGTTACCACTAAAAGCGATTACCGATTTTTTGCTGGGACCGTAGCCGAACGCTTAGAGCTACCTACTGCCACTCGGGAGGTCCATGGTTAAATTTCTGATTGAAGGAGAATGATATACTGTTCATCCCCAAAAACATAGGATATAATTTTAAAACTACTTGGTAGAGGTTTACGCCGACCTTGCGGCGGCGGCGTGGTCAACTTCAAAAAGAATCGGCGGCGGCGGCGACGCCGGCGCGTCTGGAAACGCCGGCGCTACTGCCCATGAGGTAGATTCCAAAGAGCCATGAGGCTACTAATCTTATCATGTCATCTCGTCAGCGTTAGGCATTCACCATGCCAATTCAAATTATAATTCTATTTAATTTATTCATTGAACTAGTTTTAAGTTTAAATTACGATGGACGAACAGAAGAAGGTCTGAGGTATAAGGAGCTAAAAGTCACTTATTATCTGTATATTTTCTTTGAGGAGAGCTAACTATATTTCCATGGCGATGGCCGCGAAATATTCAAGGGTGGTTTACCTCTGCATTAGATGTAACTAACTTGTAACTTACTACTTTTGGACATAAAATATCAATAGGAAAAACAAAATATTTTTTTTTAACTTTAGTTGTTTTATTTTTATTTACTTCTCTACATCTCATATTTCTTTTCATATTCTGCTGTAGGTGGTCCCATATTCGAACTCCGTCAGACATAACTTCAAAATGATAATATGAAATTTCGATCTTCCTTTTAATTGTCATCAACGCGTTTGTCCAAACGCCTTTAAAGAAAACAATCTCCTTCATTACTCCTGCATTACTTGTCAACTAGTCTCAAGCTAGCTTTTTGTAGCTAACTACAAGTTATATATTTTATAGAAATCCCGCGAAAAAGCTAACTACAAATGGGTTATTTTTTATCAATTGATAATTTTCTGCAGGACAGATCCGTACGTACTATTTAAATTTAAAGAAATAAAAAATTTCAAAAGTTAAGTTATTGGGATAATTTATGTCGCTATCAATACATTTTTGCAATATTTTTATCAACCGTTATGTTAAATTACGGAGTTCTTACGGTTTTTTGCGAATTACATATTGAAAACAAGGTTGGTCTACTTTTTTCCAAAAGTTTAACCCATCGACTCGAACCCGAACGGGTCTTTTTGACCCACTGTTTTAAAAAAATGGCTTATAGATGGTTAAAATGTCCACTAAAATATTAAGCGTCAAATTTTTCTAAGAAGAACCGAATGTAATGAAAAATAATACTAATTTTTACCAAAAAGGGGGAGCTTTAACCCTTTTTAGAAAACGTTGCGATGCGAGGGAGCAAAACCTTCCTGGGGTTTGACCACCATTAAGGAATGCTAACGTAATTTTCACACAGCTACCTAGTACTTGTATACGTATGTGGGACCCCAGAATAAAATAACTTACGAATGTAAAAATTAGCAGAAAAAAGTGTTTGCTCTTTATTTAAAGTCTGTTTAAAATATAAAAAAAAAAATACTCAGAAAAATCAACTTGTCTTTGTTTTATCTCTAATAATTGAGGAGTTAGATGGAATGAGTTTGATGAACAGAAGCTGCTTCGGTTAAAACTGCTTTCTGACATATTGGCGTTAAAGTTTTTGATGTGTTATAACTTTATTGTTGTTATAGTATTGGAAGGAGTTGTCTACTGCGGAAAAAATCGTTAGATTACCAGTATTCGACCCTAATTTAACTGTAATAAACGCTTTAGAAATCGAATCGAAAAATATGTTACCTATGTTTTTTCTGAGTGGCTCTCTTTTTGGAAAAATAAAGATCATATTCTTGTCCAGTGGCCCAAATTATGCAAAAAAAAACTCCTTTAAAAAAGTAATTTTCATTTCGTAAAAGTGTTTTAAACGAGAAGTATTTAGTTCCTTCAAACGATGTATTTCAATGTACATACATCATGAAAATTTTGTACAAAACTCCTTAGGCGCCGAACGCCGCCGCCGCTACTACTTACGGATTTCCCTTAAACTGGAAATAGACTTGAAAACTTCGAAAAACTCAAAATTTTTATTGAGAGCTCAAGATTTGTATGAAATGAAAAAAAAAACGGTTTGTTCGATAAAAATCCGGTTTATTCGATATTCGAAAAATCAAGATTTCAAAAAAATACTGTGCTGAAAATCTGTAGTTAACTGCCGATTATGAGTTATCTACGCACTGTGAATTTGGCCCTTATAGATATACAAAAAAAAAACGGTGGAAACCGGTTTGGAAAAACCGAGTCAATCACCCTAATGTTGCCCTTATTGTGTGTGCCGTAGTGAATACACGAAAACGAAAAGTGAAAAGTGAACCGGTTCGCGGAAAATAAAACTAATGATAATCAGCCTTATTATGAGTTTAATTTTCCCCGAACCGGTTCACTTTTCACTTTTGGTTTCCATGTACATATTTATTATGGGCGGAATAAAAATTTTCGGGTGAATTTTTTTTCGTGCGAAACTCAGAATAAGGCAGAATATGATTTATCGAGGGCAAAATAAACAAGTTCTGGCATAAAATAGAACTCAATATAAAATAATTTTCTCCTACAAATTTTCATTATTTTCAACTAAAAACTAATTTTTATCTCAACTTTTTATTCCAATAATATTTTGCTTGATTTATTTATTTCAATAATAATCAGCTTTATCCTGAGTTTTGCCTGAAAAAATCCACCTGAAAATTTGTCATCCGCCCATAGTAAAACCATGGAAACCAAAAGTGGAAAAAGAACCGGTTCGGGGAAAATGCAACTCATGATAAGGGCTGAAAATATTTACGGTGACCAGATTTTTGTGGCAAAAAATCGGGACATTTTTAAAGCATCGAATCCGAACATACAATTTTGTTTTTAGAATAAAAAGACTTAATATAGTTTTATTTAAAACAAAACAAAGAGAAAAGATATTGAAAAATGATTATTATTTTTTTATGAAAATATAACTTACTAACTAAAAAACTTCTAAATCAAAATTTTTAATTTTGTAGAACGTTTATAAAAATTCGACGAATTTGAATAAATGTTCATCACAATTTGAAACATTTTAATCAGATCTAGAATTCTTTTGAGTATGCAGCTTTCAAGCCCATTAAATTTGAGTGTAATAAGTGCAAGTTGGAAGAAACTTGGACTTACCGTTGATTTTTGGCAATTTCTTGTTCGCGCATTCTCTTCCATACACGGTATGTTCAAAAAAGTTTTTTTTTGTATGGAGAAAATGAGCAACAACTACAAAAAAATTTACCAAATATCAATAGTAAGTCCTAGCTACTTAAAATTTGCACTTTGAATTGAATAGGTTACAAAACTGCATACTCAGAATGTTTCTAAGAAATGGGATTAAAAAGCTCAAAATTTTGATGAACTCTGTCGTTTCTTCTAATTTTTTTTACAAAGTTTCAAACTCTGACTTAGATGGTCTTTGTTAGATAGCGAGCCATACTTTCATAAAAAGGAATGTAAATTTCTTATAATTTTGGTTGACGTTAGTTTTTTAAAAAGTGATTTTTTTCACATATTTTTTTTTGTAAAAAATCTTACGAAATTAATTTTTCTTCCAATTGTTTCCTAAATTAAAGGAGTTTTTCTAAACTGTGTGTCCTAAAAAACAATTTTTCTCCAAAAAATCGTTGTTTCTAATGCTGTTATTGTGGCGTACTAATATTAATACTTTAATTGGGTTTTAGACAACGATTTGGTTTCTTGTTAAAATTTTTCCTAAAAGACGTGTTATAAAGCTTTATAAATCTGTTTTTTCTAATATTAGGAAGTTTGGGTGCTTTTATATTAAACAACTTTTCCAAAACTTTTTTAAATTTTTATTTGTAACAATACCGAATTTCTTAAATACATATATATTTTTTTAATTCGAATTTGAATTGAAGAGAACTTCTTATTTTGATTAATTTTTCTAATTTTGTAATTTTTTTTAAATTTCTTGGTAAAAATATCTAATAAATCTGTGCTACATTCCAAAAATATGAAACTACTAAAAACACAATTTCCTTATGAGTGGAAGAACCTTTTAAGAAATATATTTCTCCTAATCCTGAAGGGGTTAAAAATACGGGACAATAGAATCGCTGTAGTTGTTATTTTCTTTTATTCAATTTATTTCTAAATTTATTTTGCATATAATATTTATTGCCTTCGTACTAAACTTTAGTGTACTTGTCGATAACGCAGTTGTGAGATAGATTTTCAATGGGCGGCAGGCGCCGTACAGCAAATGTCAAAATAACTGTATGTACATGTATATTTTTATCGCGAATGTTTATACGCTTTTGCCAATAAAATTTTCTAATGGAAGCGGCTTTCAGTGCGCAATTCGGTGCAGGCGTGATCCGTTAATAACAATTTATGTTATAGATATTCAATACAACCCTGCAGTCATGTTTTTGCTTTGTTGGTTCAGTATTGCTTAAAATTGGAATGCGTTTGGTTCAACAAATTTCATTTCGGCAGTGTCGTTCATTCCACTGACCACTCAGTGTTCATTTAGAAGCGCAGCCTATGGCTGTCCGTCCGCGTTTTTTTTTTATACGCGTTGGAATGTGGTGCGGCTGTTCTAATTGTAAACGAAATTATAAAAAGTGATTGAATAAGTATTGAAGAATCAAGTGAATAAAAAGAAATACGGTGTGTGGAAAACAACGTTAAATGCAATACGTGGAAGTGAATATAATCGCACGACAAGACCGTGACTAACAACTGATCATCATAATGAAGTAGATTTATAGGGCTGAATGGCTCAAGTGGAGCTCCAGCGGTCGGAATCGGTCTTGCTATGGAAAAGTTCGGCAGTATAATGGCCAATTTTGGGTTAATGCCATATGACCTACTCAGTCTTTTTATGAGCGTGTTCGCTATTCACTCTGATTCCGATATAATACCATCGCTATTTAGGTTTGGCATCAAATCTGCAAGAAAATTTAGAGCGGAATCAAATTTTTTTTGTATTCATTTCATTCTTTTGAGTTATATAAAGCACAATATCCATAATAGTATGCATGACGTTGTGGAATGTGTGTGACATTGATGTATATTTGTTTATGTGGTTTTCACAATCTGATCAGATAACAAACTAAACTTAAAAGTTAACAAATTTCTTTCAAATCCTTAATTGCGTTGATGATAGTGGGTGACTCCGTGTATGCATTCAATCAAAGTGAAATGATAAGAAGTGCTGATCAGTCCAGTAAGTGCACGTAACCTGTACAACACTACCAGCTGATTAGAAATTTGCTTTACACGTTTTGTGTTAATCATGTTTAGCTTTACGATATAATTCGCTCTATTTAATCATACATATGTAAAAACCAGTTTCCGTTTTTGTCAATCTTTGAGGAAGTTCAAAAGTTCATTACGTCATGATAAGCAAATAAACTGCCGTATGACCGTCGGATGAACAGGAATAAGCAAACGTTGCCAGATTACCAACATCTTTGAAATATTGAAATATACAATTGGATTTCTAATGTTTCGTATTATAGAGTTATTGTACAACTCTGATATCTCCAGTAATCGGTCTTAATAAAAATACAACGATTTATATTTGTATTACAGAACCGTTTCCTATATATTTTGTGAGTCAGAATCGACTTTGAAGACAATTTTATACTGCTTCAGTGATAAGAAAAATATTTATGACACGCACTTTATGTAATAGCTAGATTCCAAACAACATCGATAAAAATGTCTAAATTGTGCCAATGCAATGTTGAATTTATGTCTATGAAATACTTATGCATTCATTCAAAATTAAAATATTACTGAACTAATATGAAAATAGAAAATAAAGTAACATGCCAAATCAACATAATACTGCGCAACAAAGCAACATAAAAGGTCCCACCGATTTTAAATATGGTGATGCTGATATTTGTTCCAAGCGACGAAAGTGTAAGGACGGTAATAGTAGGGATATTAGCTATGCGGAATTCTCACAAATCGCTAGAGAATCAAGTTCAAATAGTTCGTTTGAGGTATTTTCTTCACATGATTTGAACTCTGATTTTAAAGGAGGTCTGCTACTTAATACCACGACCCCTACATCAACATCATCGAAGCAATCATCACCAAATGAAACAAGTAACGAAAATTCCTGTTTTATAACAACAAAGCCTTCACAAACAAGTAAAGGCTTTGAAAACACGTTTAAACTACTTCAAACACAAGTTGAATGTAATGCCAAAAAAGCTATTAACGTTATGCAGTCCTTCAATATGGATACGTCGTCATTAAGTAGTGGCTGCAGCTCATTAGCTTCTATTGGCGAAGCCGAGCTAGCGCCCACGCGTTTGGAACTGGAATTGGAAGCTATGGAAAGAGTACGCGCTCTAGCAGCACACAATACTTGTTATGATATATCTCCGCGCTTTGTAACACTCCTATGTGATTTCGTCTCTAGAGGCCAGGGAATAGGAAATCTGGAATGTGATAGAAGTACACGAAAGGATATATCACAAAATAGTGCGCAAGACCTAATATATCACGCAGCTAGAAATTCTGACGGGAGCAACTGCTTGAAAGTTGTAAGGACCTTATATTCAGAACCAGGTATGCATCAATGTTGATACATAAAAGTGAATTGGTAAAATATACAGAACGTAAGTATGTACCTAGTTTATTTTTTAACCTTTTTCCTTTTTCTGCGTTTATATGCATTTAATCTTTTATTACCCAAGTGCAGTTAATGACTTATTTATATATAAATAGTAGGCCATTGATTGAATCAATCGCCGTGCAATTTCGCACGTAGTCATACGTACTTGTAAAATAAGTTTGATTAATGTATGTGTATATAAAAATAATGTATGTTTATTTTTATTTATCTAATTTAATACTATCATATGCAGACTAATAACTGTCCTAGGGCCGTTTTCTAGACTGCCTGTTAAAGATAGCCAGTGCTTTGACTGCCTGTCCAATTTGCCACTCACTTGCTTATAAAGCAGACCGGCCCGAAATTTTTAGCAGGCAGTCAAGAAAACGGGCTAAGTGTTCTGTTCCCACGACAGTCGGGTCTATGTAACCGGAACGACCCAGATTTATATCTGGCCAAGGATTGTCACTCCAGCAACACTCCCCAAAACCCTTTTGGAACTTGTATGCTGCTACAACAACAACGGCCTAAGTGTGTTTGCATCCACGAAGGCGGCCTTCTAACCTAACTTAAGTTAAATACCATAGAGAAGTCATTGTTATGATCATATTGTTCTTTCTGTGGCTCTTGTAACAGCACTTTCCCTATGAACTGTAATATGAAAAACCGGATCGATCTCTGCTGTTGTTGCGGCTACAACATCCCCGCTTAGATCGGTTAATATCGCAGTCGTTGTCGTCAAGTTCCACTAACGGCAGCCCTAAGAAGCGTGCAGCCTCAATAGGGTCGGTTCACAAGGACAAAGGCGTTAGGGCTGTCGGGTTTTCGGGGCGTACGAAGAGATGTTTCGAGTCTGGAGGTGTCTCTCCGCATGCCGGACTCTCTGCTGTCGACTCGTGTTGTGAATTGTAGAAGCGACCATCAAGAAATAGGTTCTTTCTGTTAACGCGTGCTCTTATTTCGAGATGTACAGTTTTATACGTCCCAGACACATATATTTTATTTAAAAATTTTGCGAGTATTAAAAAATTATATTCGTATTTGGTGTTTCATGCATCGATATTGGCAACTGATGAAAATCGGAAGATAGCCGGGCATAAATTACTCGAAAAACACAGGATTAAAAATACATAATAATAATACATAATATTTTTCATTCGACAGGTTTTTTTGTTTAAATAAAAATATCAAGGTAATATTTTGACGTTTTTGGTTTTAAGGGAAGATTTAGACTTAATCCATATTTTGCGTTATTTTAACCGCCTGCACAAAAACGAGAAGGTTATCAGTTCGTCGGAAAATATTTTTTTTTTATGTAACAACAAAACTTTGGACCACGTTAACCGATTTCCATAACTCTTTTTTAAAGGAAGGGGTTGGTGTTACCTCACAGGTGGTCCCATACTAATTTGGTTAAAATCCGATCATTGGATGATGAAGAAATTAACGATTATCTTAAATTTTTATATGGGAATTAAAGTCGGTTTGTTTTTTTCTTAAAAATTACTTGTTACCATTTCTGATTTTATTTTTCGTGAAATATATTTCTAACATATTTCCTAATTAAAGTTTCTTTTCTAATGGTCACCTATCTATGGTCTGTAAAGTATCTCCCAGTTGAATATAATCGAAAATATATAAAAGTATGTAAAAAAAATTCCATTAAATTTAAACTTTGTCAGAGGATCTTAACCAAGGCATCTTGCACAGCGAGCATCAATGTACCAGGTAAATTGATTTTTGAGAGGAAACTTCTTTGCATTCGATTGGCGGTGATTTCAAACCAGTTTTGTACCTATTTGGTCTCTAAATTTAAAATTTTTTACAGTTAAAAAAAAACTCTAAAGTCAATATTTGTATATACAAAAAATATTAAATTATTATAAACGGCAATAACAAATCATTTTATTTTTTTGCCTATGTTCGTGCAAGCATAATTTGTTCGACACTATAGAGACCAGAGACAACAACAAATCCATATCGTCACCTAAAATTCAAAAATACGTAACAAACATCGTCGCTGAAATTCAAAAAGTCGTAACTAATAGAAAATTCAAAATTTAGTTTTTGATTGATATGATGGATTTCATCGAATTACGACTCCCACATCCTTTAATGAAAAAAAATATAAAATTTTAGTCACGGGTTTTTCCACTTCAGTTACGCTTTAAGTCTTTTTGAATTTCAGGTGACGATATAAATGTTGTTTTGTTCTTGTGTTATTACCTGTTCAATACGCCTTGTCAGATAAAGCCAACAAAATCGGAGAAAAATTCGTCATGTAAATTCCTTTATAACTATACTTTGTAACAGTCCTCATTAAAAAAAAAAATATTTCTTAAAACCAATCTTTTGTGTATTTTTTTTTTGATAAATTCCGGTTTAGAAAAAACCATTTCAAATAAGAAAACATAAAGCTTGTAATAAGTTTTCACTTTTGCGTTTTTCCAGTAATGTGGCAACGTCTATGTTGTGGAACGCGTTCACTGGAAAATTTGTACTTAACTGAGTGTTGGAAAGTGTTGTTATTTTAATAATAAAGTCATTCATATGTGATTATCGATGACCAAAAAATGTAAGCAACGATAAAGTACGATGAGATGTCAATCTCCGAAATAGTTGTTATAACCTCTACCGCCTAAATTTATTTTTCAAAATTTCCAATTATAGGCTTCAATAAAGTTTCTCTACAAATTATGTTTTGACTTGCGCAAACTGTATGTGTGCAGGGCACATTAAATTAAATAATGAAGTGTTCGAGTTTTTCGTTCTACAACACTACTTCAAATTGATTTTTGACATCTATTCCAAGATTCACTCCTTCAATGTAGAAGTGAACATTGCGAATTGGTAGGAAATTGTATTTGACAAAATAAAAGTGATCAAAAGTTTCGAGCCAGCTTGGAAGTGTGAAATTGAAGAAATTGTGCGAAATAGTTTGACGAAGAGCTTTTACACGCACTATTTTATTTTTTAAGTTTGTGTATATCGTGCTGACTGATGCTGTGTATTTGCGTCGTTTGAGAAAAGTGCGTCACGAGACTGGGGCTTGTGTTAATGGCTTTTCGTTATTTTGTCTCGCCTACCAACTTTAATTAGCAAAGTAGTTGTTGTAGAAGGGGAATTGCAAAAATAAAAAAATAAATGCAAATGCATATACAAATATTTTCGAAATTGTATTTGTTTTAAAGTGAGTATATAACCTGGCGTCTGGGAAAAGTGCCAACCAAACCCAAAACCCAAAAAAAAAAAAAAAGTGAGTATTAATAGCATACAAAAATTGCTTGTTTTAATATTTAATTAACGAGTTTAGAATTCACAAGAATGGGGAGATTGGTACTTAGAGTGCCTTAAGGTTTCGTTCTCTATATCCAAGTCCGGCAAAGTCCCAGCGCAGGCGTGGAAGAACCAAGGAAATTCTCTTGTGTTGTTTCTACATTTTTAGCTGCCTTCTCTATATTTGCACACCCATATTTGCGTTAAATAATATCCAGTATTGTGCTCTATAAAAGGGGATGCGTCACATTTTAAAATGTTTAAATTCATTTTGCAAAGTTATTTAACAAAAATTAACTATTACAAGTAGTCGGGATAAATTACTGTGACTGATATATTCTTTAATATACAATTGAAATTCGAATACAACATTTGAAGTTATTTCCTTCGTTTTTTTTTTTTAGATAAATTCATTAATATTGCCTACCACCCCCAAATCACACGAACATTATTGTTATATAATAATACTAAATCTAAAAGTTATTACACAAGAGTTTGAAATTACACAATTGTATTTTCATCGGAACACCAAATAATGGATAATGCCGCTTCCAGCGGTTGTGTCAATCCTAGGGGCGAATTGCATAGACGCAATGCATCGTGGTCACCTGAAAATCGATATTTCACTCCAGAGAGTGATGTAGAAGCCATTTTGACAATGAATAGGAATGATGATGTCGCCCCCACCAATGATAATATTGCCAATGAAACGGACTTACAATGGTACGGAATTTTCAATGATGATGACGTGGATGCTGCACAATTGGAGTATGAAGATGAAATATTGAGTTCTATATATACTAATGAAGAATCTAGTCCAAACAACACACACTTAGATGATCTTAACTTTTCCGAAGTACGATCCAATAATCAAACTTTAATTGAGAATGAACAGCTACTTTACGAAGGTAGATAGCTGCGTATGTATTTATTAGCAATATGGAAATTAACATTAATTTGATTGGCGTCGAAAACGTAAATTTTCCATAATAAATAAAATTTGCATTTAGTGAAGGTTGCTTGAAAAGAACCCCAGAAGATAATTTAGGTAGGCCTTCTTAAGTAAAGCCATTCTAAGAAGCCTACGCAAGAAGGGCTGAAAAAGTGCTTTTTTGCATGCCGTGTAGAAGGGCTTATCCATTTAAAATTTACGCGGATGCATAAATTTATATTTGTTATTACAAATGAATTTCAATAAACATTTTAAGTTTCAAGATCACATATTTGATATAAACCTAAAGCAAATACTTCAAATATGTATGATTTTTATAAATTAAAGGAGCTGCTTTAAAATAACTCCTTCTGAAGCCCTTCTGAAGTACGTCCTATAAAAACCCTTCTGGAAGGCATTCCATGGGTAGCGAAAAAAGAAGCCCTTCAACTTGTGTCACTCAATAAAAAAAAAGAAAGGAGCAAGGAATTTAGAGTGGAAGGTTTTTGACCCTCAGGGGGGCTTGTCGGAAGCGATTTTAACTTCTGAATTTATCTACTGGGACATTAAATTTGTGAAAATTTTTTATGGTGCAGATTTGATTGACAGCTCAATAAAGTAAATATGAAAATATGTATGTACTTACATAATTTAATGAGTCAATTTTGTGTGCACTTTTGTGCAGTCATTTAATTAACACTCAGTTACCAGAAGTGTAAAGTGGAAATTGGAAAAGTAATGGAATGTCGTCTTAGCTAAGTTACGTTTTTGGTTCTTTTTGTATATAAAAATAGCATCAAAACGAGTTAGTTTACTCGAAAATTTACCTAAATATCCCGGGTGTAAATATTCACATATATATATGTACATATGTATGTATGTATGTAGATACTTATATGTACATATGTACGCAGGTAATTATGTACACAAGAAAGTAAATTGATGTTAAGAACATATAAGAAAGCAATAAAGAAACGCTCAGTTATTCCATCCTTTATAAAAAAACAGAAATTTTCCCAAAATACGACCACTTTTGCTCTTCTATATCTCTTCTAACTATATTTTACAAATATATATTTTTTACATTTATATATTTATTTATTGTTTATTGCAGTTCTATGTGGTAATCGAGTAAGCCAAATGACTCGGGCATATGATGATATTGAAGCTGTGACGCGTTTGCTGGAGGAGAAAGAGAAGGATTTGGAATTGACAGTACAAATCGGAAAGGAACTTTTGACGCAAAATAATGCGCTAGAAAACAGAATCATTGAGCTAGAAGCGGATTTAAAAGCATCCAACGAGGATCGCGCACAACTCGTACATGAACTACACAAGAAAAATGAGTTGATTGCAGTGCTAACAAATGACTCTGATGAGGGCAGCGAAAATGGTAAGAAAATGTGTTTAATTAATTATTAAATGACACAAACACAAAAATTCAGTGGTCGTAAAAAAATATCCAAAAACCATGATTTTTTTACATACATAACACCACATACATACCACACTTCTAGTTTCTAAATTTTTGTAACTTTAGTCTATTTTCTAAAAAAAAAGGGCAATAATTAATTCATTATAGTCCTCATAATAATCATAATTTCGCCGATCTTCTCCTCCAATTGGTTGTGTGCGTGCTGATGTTTCCTACAATTTTACACCACCTACAAAATTTACACTATTTCTGTTCTGTTTATCGATCGTTTACGTCGATCTCTTTACGTAAAACAACCATCATGAGATCTGGTAAGCGTATCCCAAAAACCAAACTATCTTCCAAGATTTCCCATTTTTTCCGTGTCTATTGCAACCCTAGCTCTTTACAAGAACACTAAAACACGGGGTTATCATTATTCCTTTCAAATAATTTGTTACTCTTATTTCTACTTTCTGCTTCATTTCAGATACACCTACATTTTCCAAATCAATTACTTTGGATTTACTGCAAAAGAAGATCGCTTCCCTGCAGGATGAGAATAAGTCCTTGAAACACGAAGCCATACAACTTGCCTCGCAAACAGATGATGTTGAAGCTCAGGAACGCCAACTAATGGAAGACATCACATTACAATTGAACGAAGCTAACGGCCGTTACGACAGTATGAATCTGGAATTGGAGCGCCAGCGGGAGGAAAATCGCTTACAACATGAACAAATAATAAGCTTGACAGCAAGGCTGTCCGAAGCCGAAATGAGACTGCATCAGTTAACGCACGATAATGACGAGCATATTACACTTCTAAATATAACAAAGGAAAATCAAAACTCATTAGCTGTGGAATTACTGGAATTCAAACAGCGCTATCAAGAGGTGTTGGCTCTACTGCAGGAGGCACAGGAGCAATTGCGTAATCAGCGCAAGAAAACAATGCCACAAGCGCGCAGCTCGTTCATTTCTAGTTCTGGCTTGTTGCCACCAGAGTCGTTACAGTGCGAGCTGATGGAATCTTCAATGTATTCGGAAAATAGTCTCGACTCTGGTATTTCGGGTGATACACAGCGTGCCGAACGCATGGGCCGTTTAATGTCACAACTACCTGGTATATATGGAGGTGGTGCTGGTGCAGCTGGTTCGGCCTATGCGCTGGGTGCTATGCCTCCATATAAACGTGTTTTCGAAACAGTGCGTTGTGCAAGTAAAACTGGCAACTACATGGATAGTGGCAATTCGTCGATGACACAACTTGGTGCAATGGCGATGAGCAGTTCGGGTGGGCCGCGGATGTCGGCGATGCCGTATCGTGGTGCTGCCTTCGACGACAATAATATGGGCTTGAAGACCTTGTCGTGCGAAAGTCTGGCATCACAATCGGACGACGGCTATCCGTCGGCACCAACCGGTGTGCCTGGTGCTCCGGGAGCTAAAGACTTAGAAGCGGCATTAAAACGACTAACACCGGCAGAGGTGTTGGCGCGTCGTGCTATGCTAACGTATGCTCCACCTGGCACATACAACTATGATGAACAGACAACGAGCACGAATACACTTCCGCAAGGTATACGCACGCCAGATAGTATTATGTCGACAGGTTCGTCGGGCATTTCGTCCACCAACATGTCGGCATCAATGCAGCAATGGCGTTTACCCGAAAAATTGCAAATTGTAAAGCCGATTGAAGGTTCTCAAACACTGCATCATTGGTCACGATTGGCAACGCCAACATTGAGTGGCTTGCTGGAGGAGCGACCGGGTGTAACCATACGAGGCGGCCGTGGTTTAGATGATTTGGGAATGCAAGTATATACACTTTCCGATGTGGAGGAAGATGTGAGCGATGACTTGCCTGGCAAACAATTTGAAGCTTCTGGCTGTACATTTACCTATACAACGAGCATGGTAATGCATCCCGATGACGGTCTCAATGATCTGTCGTTTTTGTCACAGTCACAATTATCATCACGCATGGCTTCGGCATCGACTTCGCGACAACCCAGCTGTCCACCCACACCACGCGGCGGATTGTCACGCAAGAATTCCTGTTCGACGTTTTCGGTTAATTTAGGTTTGGCTTCGATGTTAAATGAACGCGGTATTAAGGCTGTGACGCCAAGTGCACTAAACACTCCAGCTGGACCAAACTTTTCACCAACTGTCACACCCTGCAATAGTCCAGGTAAAATGTTAATGAAAACGAAGATATCTATATATCTGTGGACTTTTGACAAAAGAACTTCTGTGATTTCCATAGGTTTAAATTTAGAGTAATTGATAAGGAACTCTGATTTAAAAATTTTACATCTTTATTTAACTTCGTAGCATGTTGACCCACTATAAATGATTAAACATAAAAATATCATCCGAAAACTCAATGAATTATTGATTTGAAGAGAAAATTACCTCAATCGAGAGAAGTTGCTTTATCAAATGTCCACAGATATGTACGATGAAGGTGTATTACGCTACATACGGTAAAATCCTCCTAAGTCCCTCATACAAAACTGTTAGCTTTCAGAGGTAGTTACGCGGACTTAGTAATTAAAAGAGCAGAGCATAAGTAAAATTGTAAATAATGCAAGAAAAATTATGGATTTAGCGGGATTAAAATTTCAACGTGTTATGCTATACTTCAATCTAGAGTTACTCTCTTCTCTAGAAATCATTTGATTCAAATGACGATAACTAATCTATCTCCATATATTTTTCCTCCTTTCAGAGGGTTCACCTCCACGTTCCTCCTCACCTGAGCCACTGTTCGGTATTCTATCGACAGGTGCAGATTTAATTAGACGCAAATTAATCGGCGACATCGAACGGCCCAATCGTAATCAGGCTCAACAAAAGCAAAAAATTATGCTATCGCGTTTGGAAAGGCGTGCTTTACGCTCACTAAAGCTGGTCGAGAAAGTCGAGAGTATTGGTCTGGAGAACATTATTGTCGCACAGCCAAATTCTATGTCGCAGTTGGCTAGTGGCATAGCGAGCCGTAGCTCCAGTCCCATGGCACAATTAATTAGCCTTAAGAATCTGCATACTTGCGCCAACAATGTAGTCGACGACATACACTTCGATCGTGATCAAATAAAAACTGTGCTGCATAAAGGCCTTAACACGCCAACTAAAACTGCGAGCGGGCGCGATGAAGAGTGTCATTTCGTCAATATAACAACAGAGCCAACAGCAACATCATGTGGATTAAGCACAGCAAGAACTATTAAAGACGATGGGGAGGAGCCCTCAACGAGAATGGGAGTATCACAAAATACGGCAGCGGCCGTAGCAACAACAACGTCCACGAGTACAACAGAGTCTCGTATAAAGCAATTACAGCGACAAAAATCACGTCGCAATCTTAAAAATGGTATTGCCGGTCAGCGACCAGATTTGGGTACGATAGGTAGTGATAATGGTGGTGCCAGCGGAGGTAATGGACGTGTACGTCCCGATCTAGGAAAAGTGTCTTCAACAGCATCAACGTCTGTAGCAAAAAATGAAACTGCAGCGCAAGCGGCAACAAAAGAGAGTGGTGCTCGGCCGAAAAAAAGGCACAGCGACAGCAGTAGTGGGGGCGACAGCGCGCAAAAAGTACGAGAACCGCGAGAATCACAAAGTATAACACAAGCATTTGTCGGAAGTGTGAGTTCTTTACTATTTGGGCGCAAAGGTGGTTGGCTGTAGAGCTAGAATGCCTGCACTTATTTCAATAAAAGTGGTTATTTCAGTATGAATATAATACAAAAAAAAATCACTACATATTTTCAGTTTGATAGCGTTTGAACGAAACAAATAATGATGAATAATAATGACAAGAGCCGATAGTGGTGCAGTATTGCACCGCCCAAAGAGACAAAAATTATTAAATAACTAGTGAAAAGGAAAAATGCACACACATTAATACATTACGATGTAAATCTTATACGATATTAAAGCGCTAATATCAAGTTGACGGTGATAATAACGACCATGTGTATGTTTATAAAAATTTATTGCAACGATAGTGAAGATGTAACAAAATGCTAAGGCTAATAATAATAACTTTATGGTGCACATAATTACAGAGCATTTTATAGTGTTATACCAATACAAATGTATTTACAATGAAAAAGGGTAATATTTCCACTAATTGCTTATCTCTTCGCAACAATAGCATAGCTACCAGTATAAAATGCTTTATTGAATAAGTAACGTACAATAGTAGCAAAGCAATCCGATTCGTATAATTTTCTTTACTTTAATTTTATTATTTAACAAACTTGAAGTATTTATTTTACATTTTGATCTGATTTTTATTTTTGTTTTAGTTTTTGTTAAAATCATTAGAATTGAATTTTAATTTAATTAACTTTGAAACCGAAACATTCACATGGCTTTGCAACGAATATGCTAAGGAACTTAGTACTGCCTTTATAAGCTCACTTTTTACACGGCTTAATTTTAAAGTTAACATATTATAACTTGACCGTATACGCTAATTTTGTTGGTTTCTAAAATTCTGGAAAGTGCCCATATACATATACATATGTACATATGTATATCTTTAACTAAAATTTAACAAGGTGGTTAGTGGGAAATGGTACACACGAATAGTAAAAACTCCTTTTTAACGGAATTCCTTTGCTGAAAGTATGAAACTTGAAACGTGAAATCAAGGGTTTCAAGATTATCAATGCTTTCTTCGAACTCAAGAGAGTTTCTCTATTGTAATAGCGCTACCATAGCGTTTTTTCATGCTGGTATTTAACAAAGGCATCGATGATTTCAATATCAAAGTACCACAGACATGTATTAAAAAAAAATTATTGTATTTATTTTATTATTATGAAAATAAAAATGATTTTAAGTGTTAATAAAAAATGTACTACAACGGATTCTTATTCGTATAATACAATTAAAAGTTATTTGAAGACTTTGAAGCAAATACGAAACGTGGAAAACTCGAGACTCGGAAGGGTATTCATAGAAATTTTAACAATTTAGCAAAACTCTAGAAGTTTTATTGGTCCTATTCAAGTATAACTTGAAAACAAAAACAGAAGCTCCAAAAATTATTTCCTATAAAGTTTGACAAATCATTAAAAATTGTTCGACTCGGGCGGCTTTCGTGGATTTTTTATTTTATTCGGGGTTTTCATTGAATTATAAAAGACTAATTATTATTTTTCTTAAAAAATTTGATAATTAAAAAATTAAATTTCGATAATTTTCAGTTTATTGGGGCATGTTCGGGTGAAAAAGATATTCGAAAAAAAAAACGAAAAACATCAATAAAAATAAACAAATTTACACTCGGTAAAAGTTTTGATAAAATCTATCGGTTTTCACCTCTTTTGAATTTATTAAGGGATTTGAAGGATATCGCAAACTTAAGAAAAAAATTCAAGCTCAAAATTTCGACGATTTCCCCAAAATTTTAAGACTCCCGTACTTGAAAAATAAAACCAAAAAATAAAAACAAAAATACAAACTATTGGAAAAAAATTAACTCAAGGGGGTGTACCCTGTATTGCGATTCGAAAAGCTAATCATTCGGTTTCGAAGACTCAGCACTATGACTTTATTAGATCGTGTCGCCTAGGTTTTTGAGTTAAAAACGAACATCTCAAAACTTGAAGAAAAACAGAGAATTTCGATTTTTCTATTTCATAAAATGTTTTCGATTGGGTAAAAATTTCTTACCTCGAAAACTCGTTAAGCACTTTGCTTAAACATTTTGGAAATTCCGCAAAACATTGGACCGTATGCATAAAACCTAAGCAAATGCTTTTTATTAAAATTTCAGACCTTTTGCTCGATTTTTTCAAACAAATTTAAGTAAAAGCTATGAAATTTTAACTGAAAGCAATTGCTTATTTTTTATGCATACGGCCCATTGAAAGTCTTTGAATCTTGGGCTTATAAAGGGGTTTTTTGAAACTATATATAAACTCCCAATTACAGATTTTTGAAAAAATTTTAGCATGTCAAAAACGAATATATTTTTGGTTTTTCGTTCCCACGTTTCGCCTACAATTTTGAGACTATCTCTTATTTGAAAAAGAAAACGGAAAACAAAAAATGCATACAAGTTATTACAAAAAATGTAAATTTAGATACAATCCGAGTTTTCGGGGTATTTTTGTGTTAAAAATTTTGTATGTTTTAGTCTTCTTGCGTTTATTGAGGGATTCTATGAAACTTAAAATGAACACCAAATTCCATATTTTTCTAAACAAAAAATTTTAGACTCGTGGTTTCAGAAGCATTTTCGGGTTTATTAGGGGGACTCCCTTGAACTTAAAAAAAAGAAATGCTAAATTCGAAAACATGTATATTTTCACACACAATTGGACACCACAGTGAAGTTTGGTGTTTTCCGGTGTTGTATGTATGTACGTATGTGCAAGTCTTTCCTTATGAATTCAGCTATATTTTTTGCTTTATGTTTTCTATGTTTTTCTGTTTTCATTCAGCTTCAAATAATATAAACACAAATCGGCATTTAGTATGTGTTTCCTTATAGGATATTTATGCCAGACTTTTTCTGCGTAGTTAGTTCCTTTTATGAATGCGCTTTTATGTTTTTTAAGTTTAGCATATAATTTCATAAACTTCATTTTAGTTTAAGCATTATAACATATGCGAAATACATACATACATTTACTTATATAAATTGTTTAAAGCTTATAGTTAAACAAAAAATAAATAATTGCATTGGTTAAAAAGCTCACCAATTTGAATGTAACTACTATGTATAAAGCTGTATGCCTATAATTATACTTAACTTTGCTTGTATAATTTTCACCTATTCGTTTCAATTGTCACAAACCAATTTTTCGGACATTGCTACTTTTTCCTTTATAATTTCTAGTCTACTTCCGCTTCCTTATATTTAGCTCTTCTCTTTCTTCGCTATTCGTTGTAAAAAAAAAAATACTTAACCGATTTAGCACTTAGTTTGTAAATGAAACAATGTGATGTAAATAAAAAAACATATATTATTTCTCTCCAGACTATAGACAATAGTATAGTTTGGTTGACGAATGTGCATAAGAGCAGAGCGGCGGTCGGTCATAGCGCATTTCAAATACACCCACAATACACTTATTACAAGCAAATAATTACACTAAATTTAAGCGTGCAAACAAATTAACAAAAAAAAAACATAACAAAACTGCTGCAAAACTAGTAATGAATTGCATAAAAATGGTGCTAACGCATGTTAGTGCCTGTTCCACGTACATACTTATTCATACATGAATGTATGTATGTATGTTCACGACAGCATTAAATATCTCCATTAATACATACATATATCACTTGTGATAGGTTTTGTTCATTTCAGTAAATGCATTGTTTTTTGCTTAAATAAAAAGATAAAATAAAAAAAATAAAACAAATAGATGCTTGTGTTGTTACATTGTTTTTTCACCATTATTACCTAAATATATGGCCAGGGATCACACGTTGCATATGTATGTAGAAATACTTTATTTTCCTAAAAAGGAGTGTTTAATTAGTAAAAGATTGGTGCGTAAAGGTAAAAAATTAAGAAAAAAAAACTCATGTCGACGCTTGGCGCGCGTTACCTCGTATCCGCCAAATGAAATACCATGTATGAGGTGGCATAGAAAAACATTTATTTTGGTTACCCTGTCTCAATGCTTCCCTACTTCACAAACCTACTTGAGAAACCATTCAAAAGTTCTGAAGAAAATAAGTTTCTTCGCTCCTATGTGAAATTTTCGGACTATCTTATACGCGGTATTTCATTTGGCGTATACGAGGTATTGTGCGCCAAGCAATGATGTTTGTATTTACGAAAGCACCTTAATTATATGCGCCTTGACGGTCATTAGCAAAAACAAAAAAAAAAAAAGCAATTAAAAATGAGAAAAAAATCTGAAGGTGCATTGCAGCAGTGACTTAAGTTAATTTATGAGTTATATTTTTATTATTTATTTATAGAAATGTGTATTCAAATATATAATATAAACGTTAAAAATTATGAAAGCGTGTTTTTGTTTAATATGCCTACTAGAACTCGTTTAGTAAGTATTACGGGATGCAATGCCTTGAGTAGCGCTCATAAATAGGTACCGGATTTTTATGCGCATATAATGTGCGCTAAAAAATTAAAAATATGCACAAAAAAACAAAAAAAATATGCACAAAAAAACAAAAAAAATATGCACAAAAAACAAAAAAAATATGCACAAAAAAACAAAAAAAAATATGCAAAAAGGTTTTTCGCATCTGTTTTGCTTTTTTATTTATTTTTATTCACTTTTCATATTTTAATACAAGTTTATAATTAACACAAGGATGTGTTGTAATTTTTAGTGCCACGAAAAACTCAATATTAATCGAATATACATACATATATCTAAAATTTTAAAATATGTATGTATTAAAAAAATTAGCACTTAAAGTAAAAAATTCATTTACAATAAATTAAAAATTATTTATTTATTTGTTTAATATTTTATAAATGAACTTATAAAATATTGTGGGGTGCAGGTGGACAACTAGGTCATGGTGCACCGGCGATGAGTAACCCTTTGTCTATCATTCCCACGACAGCCGGTTCTACGTACCGGAATGACTCGGGTTTTACTCGACCAAGGGCTGTTGTTTCGGTGATCTAACCCCGTTTAGGTCGGCGAAGTATCTCAGAAGTTGCTGGTCTATAGGGCTAGATTCACTACGTATTCTTCTTGGCTGGTGCCACTTTAGGGCATGCTCAGGTCTGCGTACCACGCGTGATTGGACTGGGAACTTCGAGGGCCCGTGTTGCGCGGCTCGGTCGCAGACCTCAACTGCGACGCCTCCCCCCCACCACCACAGGGCGGCAACCATCACAGCAGCGCACACAGCCAACGGCGGCAAGAACACACACATCCCTTACACCCCACATCACGACACGTCTCCCGAACCACATGAAGCTCCTTCCATTTAACTGCAACGGGCTACAGAGCAAGATTGAGGAGATAACCGTCTTCACGTGTCGGCATGGTATATTGATAGCTGCGGTCCAAGAGACGAAGTTGCACAGCAATTCAACTTTGTTGAATTGTGCCGGGTACAACGTGCACCGTCGAGATCGCGAGCGAGATAATGGTGGTGGCTTAGCGTTCATCACGCACCACACCGTGCAGTATCGTCTAATCGAAGCAGACATCGTCCGCAGGGATACCACCCTAGAATGTCAGGGCATTGCTATCCGGTCAGACGATGTTGAGCTCGAAATATTTAACATATACATACCCCCTGTCACCTGCTGCCCGGCAGGATATCACCCTGATATAGGTGCGCTCCTCAGAGGTGAAAACCGTATGGTAGTAGGTGACTTTAATGCGCACCACGATCTTTGCCACTCAAGCCTGTCAAACGATCGTAGGGGAACAGACTTGGCTGAGCAGATAGACGATTGGACATTCTGCACAATGAACGACGGCGCACCCACCAGGATTATGGGTAACTGCAGCAGTTCCCCAGACATCACCATAGTCAGCGCTGGTCTGATAAACAGCATAACATGGCGACCTATGCTGACTTTAGCATCAGACCACCTACCCATAGTCATCTCGATAGATAAACCAACCGACTTTGCCTCCGCCAAACATCGGACCTATATCAACTTTTCTAAAGCTGATTGGAAAGGTTACGCGGAGTTTACTGAAAACACCTTCACAGCGCTTCCCACACCAACCGACGTCCATCTCGGTGAACGTAAGTTCCGCAGGGCTGTCACTGCTGCTGCAGCTCGCTTCATACCGGCAGGATGTATAACGGACCCACGTCCAAACTTCCCTGCCGAAGCGGCTGTTCTAGCCGATGAGCGTGATAGCCTTCGTCAGGGCGATCCCGGAGATCCCCGTATCAGGGATCTCAACGCGGAGATTCGGCAACTTGTAAACGTACATAAGCGGAAGAAGTGGGAGGAGCATCTGAAGACCTGTAAATTTACCTCTGGTGTGAGCAAGCTTTGGTCAACCGTGAGGTCACTTCCAATCCGACGAAGCACGACGACAGAGTCGAAATTTCCTTCGGCGACCATGCTTCGTCGGACCCGGAGTCGGCAGTTCATACTGCATCCATTGGACAAAGCCAAGCGTCGAGTGACCAGAAGGCTGCACAAACTGCCAACAACCTGTGCCCCCTTGCTTTCACTTGCGGTGAAGTTCAGGTGGCCATCGGGAAGGCGAAAGCCTCCAAAGCCATGGATCCCGACGGAATATGCACGCTGATGCTGAAAAATTTGGGTCCTGCGGGGGTAGCGACGGAGGTCCTCAATTTGTCTATGGCCACTCTCATCATCCCAGACATCTGGAAGGGGTGGGGTCCCACTGCTCAAACCGGGAAACCTGCCAACATAGGAGATTCTTATCGTCCGATAACACTCCTTTCCCCGGTAGCGAATACACTCGAGGCCTTGCTACTCCCGTATTTCAAAAACCACTTGACCCCAGCGAAGCATCAGCATGGTTTCCGTAAAGTGCACAGCACAACAACAGCACTTAACGCCATAAACACTCAGATAACTCGTGGCCTTAACCGAAACCGTCCCTGTGAGAGAACGATTCTAGTAGCGTTGGACTTGTCAAAGTCGTTT